GGGGGGGGGGGGGGGGGGTGCAGGTCCGCCCAGGGGTAACGCGTTTGATCCCTCGTCGTTGCCTGGAAGGCACGGGATGTAATCGTTGCTCGCGCCGCCGCCGCCGCCTCGTAGTGTTTATTTTCCATGTTATCTAGGGCCGAGGGGCGGCGGGCACAAGGGATAGACATGATCCCATCGGTAAGGGTGGAATGACGGCTACGGCACCCTGCTGTGTTGTACCATGTTTTGGTGGTGCGACTACTGTACATATGTGAAGGAGAAAAGGAAAGCACCGTAGGCATTCAACCAGGCAGTTCAGTTGTCTGTGTTGTGTCGTTCTGCAGCGTCTACAAGTGAGGTAATTAATTGGTGCATTGTAGGTAGGAATCGTGCTGCAGTAACAATTATGGCTAGTGCGTTTTGTTCTTCGGTAAGATGAGTCTCGGTTGTTGCATGAGAAGTGATCATCTCAATTTCGTCAAATGTGGTTGGATGAGCGTCGATGTCTCCTTGGTTGGTCAACGATAAGATGGTCGAGCGACGTTGGTTCGTTACCAAAAGGTCAAGATGCAGAGCATGTTACTTCGCCTGGACCTGCTTACCTTTGGTGGGGGTTATTAGCTCCACGCTGGTTCTGTCAAAATCAGCGAATTGCGCCGGGCGCGGAAAAATAATGCAAAAGCGGAACCAACCGTTGACATTCCGCGGAGAGCGGGCTCCCTAGAGCGGGTGGAAAGGCCGGTCGGTTCCTACGGCAACGAAGTACGAGTACGGATATGTTGCACGTGACAAAAATGAATCCTGTCAAGAAAAAAGAAGCGAGCCAAGCCAAGAGAACGTTCAACGCACAAGTTTCCTCCCTTCCCAATGTGTTCGGATCCACACTGTACAACAATAGAAGCCCCACATAAGCCAAATTATGGCTCCTCGGAACCCTGCGTACTTGTGGGACAATTTCGGGATGGACGAAAGATCTTGAGAAGATGCAGTTTAGATCCTGTCATGACATGGAATCCAAAGGTGTAGGTCCTGGCAAATGCTCGCGGGGCTACCCTTATCCATGTTGTGCTTGCGACACCGCTGTTGCAACCAGGCTAGTAAAGTTGATACTGTACGGCAGTATTTGGTTCATGATGAGATGCACATGTGATTGATGTGAAAAGGGACAGCAAGGAAGCATGTATCGAAGGGGGGCCCAGGGGCTAGATTGGCTAGACATAACGATGTAACATACCCAGGATTTGGTTCTCGAACGGAACCATTCCTACCAGGGGCGGCCCTCTGCAACATGACCCCTTTTGGCTTTATCCCGTGACCTGCACCGTATGGAAGAGCCGGGAGCACAAAAATAAGTGGCGTGTCACCGACGAACAGGGTAACAAGGTGGAGGCGACAGCAGTACTACGCTTCAAGGGCCGTTCGTCATGCGGCATCATGACTACCAACCATGACAAACCGTGGGATACGACGGGAGCTAGACTACTACTGTAGACCTACTCCAATGCGTTTAATCTTCTCACTTGTCATCATCTGCTTCACTTGTCCCAGCAGGGAATAGACTATATATATAGACTAGACTGCATTACATACATGTGTGGTGTGCGTCATGTCGTGTGCAACTAAGAAAATGTATTTGACAAGCATACTGAGTCAAGTACGTATTTGTGATATCCTTGAGAACGCCGCCCCCAACAACACAATATCGCAAACGGGTGGCGCAAAAAGTTTGAGTTACAGCAGTAGCCCCGTGTAGTGTTTATTTGCTTTATTTGTTTTTTGGTCCTCCTTCACCTTTCATTGAGTCGCCTCAACAATTAGAAGTCCGTTCACGGTTTTTCTTTTTGCCACTTTTTTAATTTTTGCCACCCCCGGCGAGTGGGCGGTGGAGGACTTAGAGCCAAGACACCCCAAAACTCTCCGGCGTGAGATCCAAAATGGATCGAACGGTGGAGGGGGGGGGGGGTTGGTTGCTTGAAGTGGATCGATAAAACATAGAGCCATCAAAGCAAAGCTTATTACTCACGTCGAGCAAGCTGAACGACCGGACCAACCACGCAAAAACTGCGGAGCTAGATGTGCGGCACGCACAATGCATTGTTTTCGATTGGAGAGAGGCGAGTATAAAGCAGTAAGGAATTGTTGGCCAAACTTTCGGCAGATAGGTCTACTCGGGAGCGTAAGTGGGGTAGCAACCCATGGTGGAGCGTACATGAGAAGCTGGACGTTGGTGTACGCCCCATCCCGGCGTGTGAGTAGGATCTTAGGCTATGCAAGCCGTCCCTGAACTTATTGTGGTGAAAATGACCTCCCAGGAGGAAAGTAGCCTGTACCGCGGGACTTCGGAGATGATAAATTGGGTGGTCGGGGGACGTCTGGGTGTTAACTAAGCAGAGCGCCCGGCACAAGACTGGGGTACTTGTGTCAGGAGGTGTGAACTTGGATCTAGACTACGAGCCTATGTTGGAGGCGCTATTTAGCGTCGGTGAGCCGGCAAAAGAACTAAAAGGAACCACAACCCCCGCCGGACACTCGGATTGGGAAGGCCGAGTATTCCGTATACCTTCCTGAAAAAACACGAAAAACAAGTGGCCACGGTCCAGTTGCCGTAAAGATCATAAGGATGGTGAAGAAGCCCTGTCTCTTATACACATCTAGATGTGTATAAGAGACAGGAATAGGATCTTAGGCTATGCAAGTCGTCCCTGAACTTATTGTGGTGAAAATGACCTCCCAGGAGGAAAGTAGCCTGTACCGCGGAACTTCGGAGATGATAAATTGGGTGGTCGGGGGACGTCTGGGTGTTTCCTTAGCAGAGCGCCCGGCACAAGACTGGGGTACTTGTGTCAGGAGGTGTGAACTTGGATCTAGACTACGAGCCTATGTTGGAGGCGCTATTTAGCGTCGGTGAGCCGGCAAAAGAACTGAAAGGAACCACAACCCCCGCCGGACACTCGGAATGGGAAGGCCGAGTACAGTAGTGCCGGCCCGCACTTAAGAATAGTCTATGGCACTTAAGAATTTGATGCTCAAAAAGCCCAATACTTAAGAATTTACCGATAAGAACATGTATGTGCTCAGCTGCACGCCCTGTAAGGAACAAGAACACACCTGAGGTGCAAAACTGCTGCTACAAATAAGAACGACAGCAATGCAGCGGCTGCCAGATAAGAATACTCGCAGGGGGAGGGAGGGAAGAGGGGGGAGTGGTCCCAGAGTACAGAGTATTGGATTTGGGAGGGGTACGTACCCCACATATCAACATTTATTTGTATTTTTTTAGAGGGGGAGAGTGGGCATTGTACGCACCCGTCATGCCCCTGGGTGCCCCCAAGAAAAGCGTGATGCGCGGGCGGGGTGAGCTGCCCAACCAAGGCGAGGTCCATTCTTATCATGGACAACTTGCACGCGCAGACCACGGACGAGTTCAAGGAGTATCTTGCGAAGCACTGCAACACTCTCGCCTGGTATGGCCCTTCGGAGTGCACGGACGAGGTGCAGCCAGTTGATGCAGGAGCCGGACGATTTCTCAAGGTGGAAGTCGGGAGGCAGATGGACATATGGCTCGAGCAGTCGGACAACCTCGAGAGGTGGGAAACCGCGTCGCTGACAGCTTCTGATCGGCGCGTCCTGATCACTCAGTGGATGGGAGCGGCCATGGCAAGACTCAACAGCCAACAGGCGTACCGATACCGTCTTTTCGAAAAGTGCGGGATGGCCATGACCGTGGCCGGCTCGGGCGATGATCGAATCACCTTGGAGGGTTTGGAAAAGCCGTATACCTTCGCTAACGATGAAGACAGTAGCGACGACGAACAAGGTTCGGAGGACGGCAACGATGAGCCTGAGGGGCGGGCGGAGGAGGGCGATGGAGGACGTGAGACGCTCATGGAGGGCGTTGACTCCAGCGATGAAGACGACGGCGGTAAGTTTGTTTTGCACAAAAAAACCAACTCTTCTTCATCTTCTTTCTGTTGATGACGATGTCCTTCATGTTGACGTTAGCTTGTTTCCGCGCACGGCTACACTTATATTATGATAAGTTCAGGTTGAGTTTGGCGACGTGACACCCTAACTAACTTCTTGTGTTTCCCGTTGCCTCGTTCGCAGACATCTCTCAACCCCAGACCGACGAGATAGCTCTTCTGGACAACGACGACAGCATGGACCCACAAGACCCGGAGGATGAGATACAGGGAATGGAGATCCCGGCAGGCTTTCGTATTCAAGAAGCTAAACCCGTTGCTCTTGACAGATTGCTTTTGCGGCGTGGAGTGCTCGTTAGGCTGGGCATGGGGTGGTTTGGAGGGCTGATCACTCAACAATCTCAGAAGGACACTCGCCACCTGTACGACTACTGCTGTGTGCAGCTGGAGCTAGACCAGAGTACGCGCAAGATGAAGTTGCCCTTAGACAAGTACAGCGGAGATTCGGATGCGGCTGTAGGCTCCTGGGCTTTTTTTTTCTTAATATCACACAACAAATAAATCCATCTCTATCCATAGACATGAGTCTAAGATAGATTAGCAATGAATCCATTGTTCGTGCGTGGAGGTAGATTAGTCGGATTGTACCAAATCACTGGCGGTTTCGTGTACCGCAGATGGGATTGCCTTGAGGGGCGACTACGAGAGACCTTGAGATACGAGTTGCGGGCCCCCTTTTCGACTGGCTTTGGGCCTGGCACTCTTCCTCCCTCCTTCTCCCTCATGTCCCCCTACGATAATACATGCCGTTAACAACACTCTTTGGACTCTGGAGGTCACACAACAAGGGCATACATCCATAGCGTGAGCGAAAGCTACCTGCATGTCTACGGTTTCCCAGACAGCATACAGCGATATCTCCCCTGTGGGTAACAGGCTCAACAAGGCAGTTTGGTAGCCATCTTGTGTATCTATCTGCATGTTATGTTGGGAAGTTGTAGACGGAAAATTTAGGGGAACTCGGTTTGTCGGGTGTTCTAATATGGCACCCTTATGTGGTTGCGGAGCAAGCGCGTCTCGGGGTATGTATATTTTCGTCATCAAATTATTTTTTGTGTGTAATGTATGGGAGCATGTGCGGGACGGTGTTGTGTAATTGCACGTCATTAAATGTGCGAAGGGCACGAGAGAACATTATTGCATCATTGCCTCCCGACGTGGCCGCCGATAGACTCGAGAGGCGTGTGGTTGAGGTTTCATCACCGGCATGTGGGTTTGTGTTAAATGCAGTGGCTATGGTCACCTCTCTAACCCGTGTGTCTGCAGAAAGTATGGCTACTTTTCCCATCTGTAGACAACGCGGACCATAAGTAAAGACAGAGTGTATCATATCATGCATCTACATCAGTTGTATGTGGAAAGGGAGGAATGAGAGGTTTTTCAAGTTTGATGGTGTGTGTATGGGTAGGGGGAGTACTCCCTGTGTCCGTGTTGTTCCCNGTCATCAAATTATTTTTTGTGTGTAATGTATGGGAGCATGTGCGGGACGGTGTTGTGTAATTGCACGTCATTAAATGTGCGAAGGGCACGAGAGAACATTATTGCATCATTGCCTCCCGACGTGGCCGCCGATAGACTCGAGAGGCGTGTGGTTGAGGTTTCATCACCGGCATGTGGGTTTGTGTTAAATGCAGTGGCTATGGTCACCTCTCTAACCCGTGTGTCTGCAGAAAGTATGGCTACTTTTCCCATCTGTAGACAACGCGGACCATAAGTAAAGACAGAGTGTATCATATCATGCATCTACATCAGTTGTATGTGGAAAGGGAGGAATGAGAGGTTTTTCAAGTTTGATGGTGTGTGTATGGGTAGGGGGAGTACTCCCTGTGTCCGTGTTGTTCCCAGATGTTGTCGCATCAAGTGGCAGCATGTGTCATGGACAGGTCGACGTGGAAGGGCAGCGACAGGTGAACGGCAGCAGCAGTATGTTGTGCATGGTGGCATGTTGGGCTTGTACAAAGACGCAGTCCATCTTCGACCACACACAAAGGAGTTTGTTTGTCCCTGCCGGAGTTTTGGAGGGCCCAAGTCAGTCTCAAGCAGCAGTAGGAAGGAGCGAACAGGCGCAGTGCTTCTCTACAGCTTTATACTCCGTCCTCCTCAAATCCTAACGGAGGTGATTACGTATCGCACAACGGCTGGATCCGAATTGCCGGCTAGCTCCGAAAACCAGGAGAGGTGGGGGAGTAGCTCAGACGAATGGCTGCGTGTGCGCTCCTTCATGTGCATACTTGGCTGACTCTTTGAAGGGCAGAATTCTGGTTCAGTGGAATTTTGGCGGCATTTCGGCATTTCCGGTATTTGCCGTTGTCACCTGGATTGAATGGGACACGTAAATTTGTCACTCTACTTGCAAGGGACACGTTTCATTTTCAGTGTTCCCCCTTGCGGTTTCGCTTGAGAGCATCAGTAGATCAGGAAGGGTACGCAGGACCAACGTCACCCTTGTGAACCAAGAAGGTTGACAGTTGCTGCTCCATGCCCTGGTATTTTCTTGTATCGACAGCAGTACTAGTGTTGCTCATGGTTGACAAATTTTGGCGGCATTTCGGCATTTCCGGTATTTGCCGTTGTCACCTGGATTGAATGGGACACGTAAATTTGTCACTCTACTTGCAAGGGACACGTTTCATTTTCAGTGTTCCCCCTTGCGGTTTCGCTTGAGAGCATCAGTAGATCAGGAAGGGTACGCAGGACCAACGTCACCCTTGTGAACCAAGAAGGTTGACAGTTGCTGCTCCATTCGTTGGCATTTTCTTGTATCGACAGCAGTTAGTTCTAGTAGTGTTGCTCATGGTTGACAGCCGACAATATAGATAGCAAATGATGATGCTAAAATAATGTAAGAACAAGAACGCCCCTTTCTGGAGAAGGATGGACGACGACATAAGAACTTGGCAAATAAGAACTGGTGCTCGGGTTGGGGCAGCCAATAAGAACTGAGCCTCGCCCAATATAGGAGGTTCTCAAGTGCGGACCGGCACTGTATTCCGTATACCTTCCTGAAAACACACTAAACACAAGTGGCCACGGTCCAGTTGCCGTAGAGACCATGAGGATGGTGAAGAAGCTTTGAGGATGGAAGCAGAAACTGTGGAAGGGAGACAAGTTGGAGC